CGAGCATAGATATAGCTCTAGCTCTAGCTCCATATGCATGTATATTTATAAGGCAAGTACTCAGGGTTCTGTGTGTGTGTGTGTGTGTGTGCGTGTGTCTCTGTGTGTGTATGGGAGCTAAATCAGAGACGCTGGCAAACAGCAATTATGGCCGTGGCAACAACAGCAACAACAACAGCAACATTATGTTGCACTTGAGACACGGTTTGGGCCACGTTCTGTACGCTTTGGTTTTGTTCTTTTCGACTCTTGTCGTCGCTGTGGCCATCTACATCTCTCGTGTGGCATGCCCTTGCCAAGAATCGTGTTGCCAGTTGTTGTTGTTGTTGTTGCTGTTGCTGTTGCTGCTGCCTGGTTTACTGGTTCTACCACTTTTTGTTTGCCGCTTGTTGCCTTGACTTTGCCTTTGCCTTTGCCTTTGCTTTTGTGCCTTGCGCTTTGGCCAAATGGCCGCATGAGGAGCAACGCCCAAAGTCAACTTGGGCTTATGTACACACACGCTGCGCGAAACGGCGCAAAACCCAGCCCCAGACCCTGCCCCATCATCATCATCATCAACATTTTCATGATGTGCTTCAGCTAGCTGCAAGTTTTCTGCTACTTTTGCTAGAGCTACCTATCTTTGGCCTTTTGCTGCTTCCACTTCCACTTCTGCTGCTGCTGCTGCTGCGGCTGTTGCTTCAACTTCATCTTCTTTTCTCATTTGTTTTACTGCCCATTCGAGAGCTGCTCTCAACTTGTACTTTTGCTTGGGCTCACAAAAGAGATTTGTGGCTTAGGCGCTGGAGCACATTGTTATATAATTTGCCCATTGCCAACTTTAACTAACTTTATATATATATATATATATATATATATATATACATATACATATATTATGCCTGTCTCTTGGTATGTGTGTGTGCGTGTGTGCGCTCAACTGTGTGAAGTTCTTGGCCGCTAACCGCTAAGGCAGAGCCCACTGAGCCAGTGAGTCAGGCCCGTAATGCAAGGCCTGCACAGAAGGAACGTTAACAACTAACCAACTGTGCGTGTGTGCGTGTTTGTGTGTGTGTGTGTGTGTGTGAGTGTGTGTGTGTGTGTGGCTTGCCACAGGGCGGCTCAGGTTAAAAAAAATTAAGGCATTTGCCATAAAAAATAATTATAACAGTAAGCTATATAAGTTGGGCGGCGTCAACCAGTTGAGAATTTTAAAGAATTCTTAGGGCAATTATTGCAAAAAATTATAACAAATAATTTAAAATCAAAGACTTGTTCAGAAATTGAAAGCTTTTAGAAGGAAAGTTTTGGTAAAAATTAACTATAAAAGGGAATTCAAATTGTTATGTTGGACTTTATTTAAGTGATTTTCTAATGTGCTAATGATTGAACATTTTTATCTATATAAAAGCGTCAAACTTGGTAGGAAAATATATCAGCTAGTTTTTTTTTTATATATTCTATTATTATAATATTCTATATTCTATTTATATATAATATATTTTTAATGCTGGTTTTGGCGATCTTTGTATTTTATGAATATTTGTTTAGCTGGCTCGAGGTCCAAGGCCCTGTTCAGCTAAACAAATGTTTATTATATTTATATATATATTATATTTATATAATATTCTTTAAGATAAACGCAATAAAATGGAGCTTAACATTTGTAATTCGATTGAATTGAATAGCTGAAAGTTACAGTCTACAAATGCAGCGTTTTAACCTACTTAAGAAAAGTTTAGTTGATTTTCTGATGCCAGCATCTAAATTCTTTTCTTACCTACATCGATTGTTTCTGAAAACCCTGTGCTGCCAGAATATTTGATTAGACAATTCCTTATTTAGCTGGCTCGAAAAGCGGGGCTTAGCTTATTTAAACCAAAATTGAAAAGCAATTTCGTTTTAATTCATATTTTCTGTATCTTTTTTTTCATTTGAACTTTTTTAGGCATTTTTTTTTGCATTTTATTTGGTTGATAGCTTTTGTGATTAAGTTAAAGAACATCCAGCTCAAATATCAGCTTCTATATTAGAGCTGATCTTTGGCTCTCTGCCTGCACACACACTCACACACACGCACACAAACACACGCACACACACAGTGCTGTTTGGTGGCTGCGTGTGATTTAAGCTGCGGTTGGGTTCCACAACACAACGACGAGCAATTTCCACTTCCACATCCACTTCCACAGCACTTGCCACGCCACTTCACTTCGCATCGCTTTACCTCACCACACCTCACCACACCTTACCCCTCAAACACCCCACTACACTTCACCGCAGTCTACAGCAATAGCATGCCATATAATATTCCACTCTATTCCATTCTATTTTATGCACTCCATTCTATGCTATTCGGTTTATTATACTTATTCCTACATGTAATTATGATATTTTTGCGCAAAAAAAGACAAAGGGCAGTTAAGACGCAGACGATGTGAAACAAAAGACTTAGGCAGCGAACTTGACAGCGAACTTCATGCACACACACACACACGCACGCAGGCAGCGAAGTGAACAAAAATATAGGAAGATAAAACTAAAACTGGCAACAAAACGAAAAATAGATAAATAAATAAATAAATAATAAAAAAAGAAGAAACATCTGCGTAAAAATTCACTTTCAAGAAATTCATAAATTCTGTTTAGTCGCAAAAAGAAAGTTATGCGTTTGGAATATATTGATATGGCGCCTGTTATATGTATATATGTGTGTGTAAATATAAAATTTTTATAAATCTTGGAGTCATGGTCAAGGGTGAAGCGCGGCTACGAAATGACTTAATAAGCCGCCCCGCCGATTATATAAGACGCCAAATAGATGGACTAGAATGAACTGAACTGTATAAATTGTATAAGTTGTGGCTTGTTGTTGTTCCTGCTGCTTGCTTTTCGTTTCTGTTTGGCAATTCAATGAAAGTGATTGATGTTGGCCAAAAGATTCGGCGTAGAATCTAAACAGAAATATAAAAATCAAGCCAAGGGTCGTGTCGTGTGGGCGTCAACAAATGCCCGAGACGCTCAACGCTCGACGCTCGACGCTGCCTAATTTGCTGTTGTTGCTGCTGCTGCTGCTGTTGTTGTTGTTATTTGGCTTGAAGCTCTGAATTGGTAGCTTTTTGGCTAGCACAGACCGCTGTAGACTGTAGATAGCCATCAGCATTTGTCTTGACTGATTTGTAGCTATTATATGGTCATAAGCATTTATTTGCCTGTCAGCTTTTTGTTTTCTTTGTAATGAGCTGGAAGTGTAACAAATGCGCAGGAAATGTGTTTGTCCTTAAGGCACAGCCCAGCACGCCAAAGATTTTGAATCGTAGCACAGCATAGAATAGTTACCTAACAGCTCGATGCTATCTAAGGTTCGCAGAAACCCAAATGGAATACAAAAACATGCAAAATAACCACAGAAATGCAGCATAATTCAGTTAGCATAGAACTAATTTAGGCGCAATGGGATGATTGTCTCGCGGGGGATACAAACGGTACTTAAGCAATATGTTTTGAGAGAAGTTTCTCGAAAAGGGTTTTAATCTGAGTTTATATTATTGGCATACTTGTAGTCGTATGAAAATGAATACAGAAAATATATAAACAGACTTTAGATATATGTTTTGAGAGTTTTTTCCAAAAGGATTTCATATTATGGGCATATTTGTAGTCTTATGACAACGAATCTGAGATCTAATAGATGGTTACATAGATAGATAGAAAGATTGATAGATAGAGAGATGGGTAGATGAGTTAATAGATGGATAGATAAATGGATGGATGGATAGATAGATAGATGAATAGATGGATAGATAGATAGATATATGCATGTTTAGATAAATGGATAGATAAATAGATTAATGGATGGATAGACAGATAGATAGCTTATATAAAAAACTAAATTGTAAAATAATACATATATTTTATAATAAGAATATAATCCTCAATACGTTGGAGAATAAAAAAAAAACACGATTTATTATAGGCATATGTTGCTCTGAAGAAAATAAATTTGAAATTCCTTTCAATCAATATCAATATCAGAAAAAACTTTACGAAATCTGTTACATAACTAGCTTTCTATTTCACAAAAATTGTACTCTTAAGAATATATATTAAGTCCAGCCTAATATAAAATATTACAAATATGCAGCAAAATGTGCGCCTTCATCAGGAATGTCTGAAAATATATTATCTGACAGGTACCGAGTTCTGAGAATTCTAGTTAAATTTTCCCATTGAGGCTGTGGCATGCCTAGGCTACAGTTTGAAGTTTCTATAAAAACATTTCTAGTTATTTAACTATTTATCAAAAAATTTTCCAGCTAAGCTTTATTTTTTGTCTCAGTTTGAATAAAGAAACAAATTATTTCAGTTTCTTCAGCTTTTTTAAGTTTTGATCAAAGATTTTCACAATAAAAACTTAACGTTGATGGCTTGAAAATTATAATTTTTCAATTAAAAAAAAACTTTTTCATGCTTTTAATTTGCGTTTGTCGTGTCGTAAAATTGATTTCCAGCACAAAATTGAGACATAAATTCGAATTGGATTCCGAAACCTGCCGAAAAGAACACCCAAGCAACAATAGATAGGGTACTCTAGGGCGGAACACCCAAATTTCTATGGCTTAAATAAATTTAATTTCAATTAAGTTTTTCTAAAGCGAATGCTAAAAGTAACCGAAATTTAGCTGATTTTGGACAAAGAACTCTTTTGAACACAAACAGAACATAAAAGCAACATGAAACCAATCTCAAGTTAAGCTAAAATTGAAGAAAGTTAAAAAAATCTTTTTGTCACTTAAAAGTTTTTTTTCTTTTCAATTATGTCTTTTGTTTTTTATGTGCATTCTTTTGTGCATGTTGTTCGAGCAGATTTGCATAGGACTCATAAAATGGTGCGCAGCAAATGACTTAGGCAACGAACTGAACTGAATGTTTGCCAAGTTTGTTGCCTAAGTCTTTTGTTTTTATTGCAGCGATTTTAAGAGCTTTTCGGATCTCTTATGGCTGGCGGGATATCAACTTACCATTTTGAACTTGCTCGGGCGTCGCTGGCGACTTGTTGCTGGTCTCGGCATTCGAATTGAGATTGGAATTTGTGCCGGATTCCTGGGCCAGCTCGAGACTGTGTCGCGTTTGGCCAAAATAATGACGTCGATGATGGAAACGTTTGCGCGTCGATGCCGCTGTCAGGCTGAGCGGCTGCTCCTGTTCCGCCGCCTGGGCCTGACCCTCCGGCTCCGGTTCCGGTGCCGGAACGGGCGACGGCGCCGGCGCAGGCGCTGGCGTTGGTGTGGGCGTGCGCGATGGCGGCGCCTGTTCGCGACTCGATGCACCGGCGCTGGGACTCAGCGGCGGCACCAGGCAACGTTCATCGTCCTGCGCCTTGTGCTGCAGCAGATTCTGGGATTCGAGCAGGCGCTGCTGCTGCTGGTGCAGCCGATTTTTGATCAGAAAGATTTTCGGCATTTTTGCGGGCTAATTAGTTAATGTTGTTGTTGTTTTTGGTTGTTATGATTTGTTTGTTAGCACACGCGCGCGCGTACACACATACACACACACACACATACACAAGCCCACACAGGCACAGTAAACAAAACACTAATCCAAGTGCGTGTCTGTTTAATACTGTGTGTGGCTGCAGTTGTTTTTGTTGTTGTTGCTGTTGTTGTTCTGCCAACTCTTCTGCTTCTTCTTGTTTTGATCAGTTAAGCGATTGGTGAAAAAAAAAATTAGATTTTATATATATTTTTTATATATAAATCCGGTGTTATTTGTGGTTGTTGTTGTTGTTGTTGAGCTCGGCTCAGTTTATTTTTTTGTGTTTCTTCATCATTTCCAGAGTTTGGATTTATGCTGTTTTAATCTTGCATATATGCTATACATATATATTTATATATTTATGTATATATAGCGCACTTTGAAAAACAAAACAAAAATTTGTGAAATAAATCAATTTTATTTCTCATTTGCCATTTATATTAACTGTTATGTTTATTTTGCTTTCATTTTTTGGCAGCTTTTGAGTTTTGAAATTTTTTCTGTTTTATTAAATTTAATTTAATTAATTTTTTTTTTTTGAAACGCGATTTTGTTCTGCGCGTTTAAATTGTAACCGTTTTTTGTTTCTACTCTATTGTTTTTTGCCAAAGTTGTGTGTTGGCTGTGGCAGGTTCTGCTGTCCAGCGACAAAACACGTGCATTCACAACGCCGGCTCGTCTCTTACTGTATTCAAGCGGTGCCAGCCGCTGAGCAGTTAGGCCAAAGTCAAGCAATACCGCTGCGCAGCGACGCGACGCAGCAGCAGCAGCAGCAACAGCAACGGCAGCAACGAAGGCAGCGACAGCGGCTACAACAAACTCAGTTAGTTTTAGAGGCGAATTCAGGCGACGAACGCAAAACACCGTAAGCCGTACTTCAAACACACACAAAGAGCGAGAGAGAGAGAGAGAGAGAGCACGCTCGCTCAAGTTCGCTTTCGTCTGTGAGTCAGGGCGAAGATACACGCTTCGGCTGCGTTTTTCGCTTCGGCTGCGTCTTCGGCTCGGCTCGCGTTTTTGCTGCTGCTGCTGCTGCCTCTTGTAACTGTGCACGGCGAACGGTTTCCAGCGGCTGAGCACCTGAGCTGCCCGACGTCGCTGCCGAGGATCGAGAGAGAGTGAGAGTGTTTTCGACTGCGTCTGCTGCGGCTGACGCTGCCTTTGCCGCTGCCGTTGCCGCTGCTGCTGCTGTTGTTGTTGCCTTTGCTTCATTTCGCTCACATAACGTTTCTCATGCAGTTTTTTTCGCTGCGTCTCTTCTTTTTTTTTTTTTAATTCGCCGCCATGTGTGTGTGTGTGTTTTTTTTTCTTGTTGGTTCAGAGTCAAGGTAGAGGTAATGTTTTATCGTCGCTGGCGTCGCTGCTGCCGCTGCTGCTGTTGTTGTTGTTGTTGCTGCTGCTCTTGCCTGTTGCTCGATTTGGACGCCGTCGCCGTCGACGTCGTCGTCGTTGCTTTGGCCATTTGCCGGTTGGGATGTTTTACTCGTTTTGTGTGTTTGCGTTTGGCTTGTACTTGTTGTACTTAGAGCTGCTTAAAGTTGTTGCTGCTGTTGTTATTGTTGTTATGTCTTTGGTCTTGACTCTGAACTGAGCATTTGGCTGCAAATGATAGGGCATAAAGAAAAAATTATAATATTTTTCAAAGATTTTACAAGCGTGTAAATGCCTAAAATGTTGTCAAAGAATTGGTAAAGATATGAACAAATATGTAGTCATATATATATATATAAATACTATGTATATATATGTACAGAGAACTGTAAGAAACTATGCGGGAAATATAATTATAATTATATTATCCATTCTAAATATATATTTGATAATAATAATAATACTTATAATAATATTAATAATAATAAAAAAAATCATAAAAAGAATAATAATAGTATTAATAATAATAACAAGGAAACAACAATAATAATGATAATAAAATATTAATGAAAATTATAGTTATATAAAAGTTATTATCAATAATGAAAATTATGAAGTGAATAATGCTAGTAATAACAACAAGAAAAATGATAATATTTAAATAATAATAACAATTATAATAACAATAACAACAATAATAGTAACGATAATGATATTAATAGCAAATTATAATTAAAAGAATAATATATATTAATATTTATAAAATTAAATTTTATTTATAACGGTATTAATAATATTTATAATGATAGTAATATTAATAATAATAATAATAATAATAATAATAATAATAACAACATTATTAGTAATCATTATATATTAGCTTAGAAAATTCTTTAAAAGAAGAAAATGTGCATTTAACAAAATAATAGTTTTTTACCATAGCAAAAATATGTTTATAAGCTACTCTATAAATTAATTTATTTAATGATTAAATAAAAAGCTACAATATTATTTAGACAAAGGATGAAATATTTGGTAAATATGTATGCTTCTGCTTCTTTTTACTTCCTTAGATTGTTCGCTTTCGCTTTTAGAAATGTTTGAATATTGGAGTTTCAAAAATGTTAGAACAATTAGATCAGATTTTTGTCAATGTTTTAATTATTGTTATTGACACTTGTGAGCTTGTCAAATGATTAAACAACATTATTAAAATCCCTGCAAAATTAAAGAGTTACATGCGTTTTTTTTGCCGTTTAGATATCAAGTATTTTAATTGCAGAGCAAAACTTTGACTTTTGTATGCCATAAGATACAAAGGCTATTTTGTTAAATTGCAAAACTGTATTTTCTAGCCAAGAAAACGTTGTTGTTTGTGAGACTTTACTGTAGACGAGGAAATATATGTATATTGTAACATTTTATAGACTTTATGATGATTTTGATGGCTTTCACGCACAATTCCCAATTAAAATCGACTGTTGCTTATTATGATCTTAAGTTTGGTAAAGCAAGTTTGTTGCCTAATTCTTTTGTTAGTGCCTCAGACTTGCATTATGGTCTTTAACTGCATATGAATATATAAACATACATATATATATATATATATATCTGCATGCGTTCAACATTCGCGGCCTGACCAAAGTCTCTTCTCATCAGACCCTTTAAGAATTTCATTTCAACATTATCAACAGCAGTATGTGTTTGTGTGTATACGCGCGCGCGTGTGTGTGTGTGTGTGTGTGTGTTTAACTACGAAGACGCGTAGATACGCAAGAAGTACAAGAACAGAACGTCAATAAGTACCATATAAGCGAAATTAAACGGCAAAATAGTTGGCAACGCGCCTCGCACTCGCTGTCTTCATATAGGTGTGTGTGCGCGCGTGTGTGTGTGCGCTTGTACGTGTGTGGGCAATAAAATGAAGAAGCAGCGGCGTTGTCGGCTTGTAATGAGCGCTTAGAACGCGCTTAGAATGGCAATAAGATTGCGGCGAGAGTCGCTGTCGCCGTCACCGTCGTCGACGACGTCGTCAACGCCGCCGCCGATATCAACGTTTACTCTCTCGCTCACGCTTTGCCGCCCGCTCTCTCGCTCTACGGTGCCGCCTCTCGCTCTAGCGCACACGAGTGCGAGGGCAACGGCAACTAACGTTATTTCACACACTTTGCTCGCGCGCTTGTGTGTGTGCGTGTGTGTGTGTGTGCGCTTGGCTGGGCCGTGTGATGTAAGCGCTGCAAACGGAGCGAATTCGCCGCAGCCAGCACCGCACACCTGTGTGACACACACACACACACATTCGCACACATACAGTCAAGCAGCGCGGCGACGTAACAAATTTACAGCTAGCTTTGTAGCTGTGTGCGCCAAACATGCGGCGCAGAGAGCGCACGAACGCAACGAGAGAGAGAGAGAGAGAGAGCAAAAGACGGCGAGAGAGCGCAAATCATCAAATACCTGTTAGCAGTGGCTTTGACTGTGACTCTGACTTTGGCGTCGAGGCGGCAGCGGCAGAGGTAGCGCCGGTGCAGCGTTTATAGCTGCCTTATAGCTGCGCGCGCTTCTTAACTAATTGTTGTTGCTCTTGTTGTTGTTGTTGCTGCTGCTGTTGTTGTAGTTGTTGTTCCTGCGCCAACTTCACTCTCACTCAAATGCCGCTGCTAACCAAATGCAAGTGCTCTGCCCTTTGCAAGCCAGCAGCAACAGAGACAACAACAACAACAACAACAACAACAACAACAACAGCAGCAGAAGCAGAAGCAGCAGCAGCAGCAAGTGAAAAATCCTGATGGCTGAGATTTTTTTTCTTATAGAATTCGTTTAATTTTAAGGCTTTTGATTTGCTTTAACGCGTTTGGCTTAATTTTAAGTTAAAGCTTTTTTTATTTATAATTTGTAATATTTATATCATTAATTTTTTTTATTTTATTTAAAGTCCCTGCTCGGGCGTCATACGACTTGCTATTAAGTATGTAAGTATTAAGTATATTTAGAATTTCTATCCAGTTTTTCTCTTTTCAGCTTCGATTTCTATGAAGCAGTCCCTGCTCGGGCGCCATGCAAATTCTTATATAGGGTTTTTTCTGAACGTACGCATAGGATATGAAAGTCCGTCCATTTATTTAGAATATGTT